CGAAGTTGAATGTTACCCACAACTAGCAACCTTCCTACTAACAAAATAAAAAATAAAAATGACCGGAACAGTCATAATAAAAACAGGAGAAATATATTAAAAACACCAAAAATTAGGATAAAATGTCCCGTCTATCAATACCCCAGATGAAGTATATGTATGGACATCTTTACAAATTTAATATATTCCATTTAGTCGTTAGCAAGGATGATTTACACATGAGAGGAACAAAGTAAAATGAGATTTAAAGTCCACTGGACACAAACTAGGTCATTTTGGGACTAGCATAATATGGTGATGCATACTGTATCTATGGACATCATCACAAAGTTAATATATTCGTTAGCAAGGGTGATTTTGACTTAAGAGAGAGAAATGGAGTTTAAGGTCCACTCAACACAAACTAGGTCATTTTGGGACTAACATATGGTACAATTTTACTTCAATAATACACTTGTGGGAAAAGAGAATATCCATGAGGTTGAACAAACAACACCACACCATGTCACCGGCATGCTGTCACACAACGTAACTCAATGACAGACCTTAGGATCTAAAGTCTATGTGTTAGACCAGCGACAAGTTTCATGAATGTCCAATGCAATTTAAACAGAACAAATCGTCTTCTATAAATATGATATAATGAAAGGTGAAATATGATACACGATTCAGTGTAAGCATATTTTAGCTCTTGGGTAAAAGAAGTGTTTATGAGGGATGTACTTGTAACAGGTTTTAAGGACGAGGGGATTGTAGATGATCCAGTGACAGTAAGTCGTAGTCACACAATCAGCAAGACGACCATACAACACCTTTTCTGCAAATGTTCCTTGTGCCAAATAGGTTATTTTGGTCAAACATATTTTAGGAATCAGACCAGCTTATTCCCATCTGTATTTAGGAGCCGATCATTGTATGGAAACATTTGGACGTTTTCATGGAGAGGCATTTTCAGATCGGGAGGCTATGATAATTCCATATTGAAATCCCTGAAGGAGAAGAGGTCAAAAACAGTACTACAAAATAAAACAGTACTCTGTGGTCCAAAAACCTTGAAGGAAGGTCAGAGAGCATTTACACTCGAACGTAGGAATCTAAGTAAGTGAGCACTTCTGCTCAAACGTAGGTATATGTAGGAGTTTGGCACATGCTGTCAATATTATCCTGGAGTGCCATAAATCCTGTTTTGATCTATGCCATGATTCAGAGATTTCAATACCAGACATTAAATGTACCTACATGAACACTTCTGAATGTTTCTTCTTATGGTTCTTCTTTACATGAGCAGGTGTACAAATTAAAAGATATCATGTTTATGATAGTCATGTCAGTCAAATTTATACGATGATCTGCTCATGAATACAGATCTTAATAACAGTGGTCTGATCCCTGCAAAATTACACACCACTTATGACCCTTCCCTATGGCTATCAAGCAAGCGTGAAAGTCAGATTTTGTCACAAAAATATTATGATTTTAAACAAAATGATCTATTTGACACGATTCACGTTGAAATTACGAAATATTACAAGTAATGGTGATGATCAGTAGTCATTTGAAGATAATCGTTGGTCATTGCTGAAAAGGTGCTGCTTAGGTTAAATTGTGCTAATATAAAAGCTTGCTATGCCAGTCCTTACATTTATGCACTTCCGTGCTACTAACTACTGAATACAGGTGAGAATAATCGTTGCCTGATCCTGCAAAATTATACACCAGTTAAGCCCCTTTCCTACGATGACCGCGAACGTCCGATTTTGTCACAAAAACTTCATGATTTTTAACCAAGATAGTATATTTGGCACAAGGAACGTTCAAGTAACAAAAAATAGTACTAATGTTCATAATCAACGGTCATTTGAACTCTTGAAAATAGTATTCGGTCATTAGTGAAAAGACGAATTTCGTGGAAAATACCGTTTTTACACATTTTCAGAATATTACAGCACTCTAGTGGGTTGCGTTCCGGTCAGTTTTTTTCTTTTGACATTTACTTTGAGAAATGCCCTTCACAACCACACCAAGCAATTCTATGTCAGACCTGCAAAGAAGCAGCTACATGCGTTTTAGGATAGCATAGTTTTAAACATATGTAAAATGACCACTTTATGATCACTCACAGAAAATTCCACATGATTCATTCATTCCCAAACGACTGCAGGATTTTAAGACGACTACTAGGCCTATCATACCTGACCAATATCAAAAATTTAGAGACACAACTTTTCGGGTAGGAGCGTTTTGAAATAAGGGTAACAAATTGGTCGAAATATGTCAACTTTTGCCCCAAAACAACAATTTCCAGTTATACCGGAAGTTGTCAGTTCAAAATTTTTTCACTCCATGTGACTTCTGTCGTCTAGGGGTCCCAATAGACCAAGTATGGTTGAAATTTGCTGACCCCCCGGGTTATCGTTTTTTTCAATTTCTGCATGGTGCTCTCGTGGTTAAAACCTGTCCTCTACATCGCGATGCACGTAAACATTCAATTTTTACCTTACCCCAAAACGTGATTTCAATACAGACATTATTAAAAGGCACTGACGATATTATTATTTCAAGTATTATCTTTGAACAAGTCCATAGATTTCTAGACATCTCCGGAAGGTTTAAATAAAAATGAATCCAGTAGCTAAATATATGAATATGGCAAACCTGAAATTGTAAATATGTACATAGGCCCCCCCCCCCTTTTTTTGTTCATTTTATTCTTTTATTATTTAGATTGATTTTATCATTACATGGTTATATAGTCTTTTTGTATATATTTTCTGTCATATAGGAAAGAGGTAATATAGGCCTAGGTAGGTTGCCAGGCAACGAAACATACGGCCACAGCATCTAAATCGTCCGGGCAGTCAACATGAGTTGTCGCATATTTTTACTTTTGTTGGTAATGAAACATTTATAATACACTAAAATCTGATTAAGAGTAACAATTAACTCATTAAGTAAATCATTAGAATTTGTTTGACCCATGCTAACATTTAGTATACAAAACATTTAATACCATGGATTTAGCTGTTCAAGTTACCAAAAATCATTGAAAATCAATATACTTGTTCGTCTCAAGACCTTAAACTCTGTGGATCAATCGAAACAATTTATATATATATATATATATATATATATATATATATATTATTATTATGATAACTATGGTCTCTAAAGTATCCACACGATTTTTCAAAGTGATCAAGGGCCATAACTCTGGCAGTAATTATCGAAATCATTGAAAAGCAATAGGTTTCTTCGTCTAGAGCATCCACAAGATATTTCAAAGTGATCAAGGGCCATAACTCTTAGACATAATTAACAGAAATTGCTGAAATTCAATAGGATTCTTCATTTCACTAAATTAAATAATGCATAAAAATTTCATACAGATCGGATGATAAGTTTTGTCATTAGAGCGTTCACATAGGGTCTTTAACAGTAGGAAGAGAGAAATGGGGTTTAACAGTACACTTGACACAAACTAGGTAATTTCGAGACAAACACATGGTTCAATTTTATTTCAATAATTCGCTTGCGCTTATGGATTTTTAGCAGTGGGAGGAAACCGGATGACCCGTAGAAAACCCATGAGGTTGGACAGGCAACCTACCCCTTGTCATACACAAGCGGGAAATCGATACCGCAACAGTTGACTTAAATGACAGACCTTATGATCAAATGAGAATAACCAAAACCACGTTAGTCATGAACTGACCTGATCCGTGTGAGTGGACGTTAAAACCCCACTTCTCTCTTACATTAATTTTCGTTGATTAACCCGACGTTTTTTCGTGCAATAGATGTAACAATGTCTTCATCAGAACAGCCATGAAATAGTGCAACAAATTGGGCAGAGGGGCATCTGAGGGGCCGATATAGAGATATGCCTAGTTCGGGTGGATTAAAATGGAACACTTTGCAGCTGGAAGGATCCAAGTTAAAACAACTCTCGTTCTTTACATTAAATGTGCTATACTCCAAAACTAAAACCTTGTTATCTGTGAACATTGATTTCACAAGCTTATTCTGCAGCTCAGTTTTTCATCTACCGCCGGCTTGTTCAACATTTCACAGCAAAATTACAAGGCTAGTGTTCCCCCACCCTATCAGATCCAAACCACAGTTATGGTGAAATATTTTATTTGTAAATGATTTTTAACTACATCTATCAGTATTTAATTAATTAACAAACAATAATATAATCTCTTTTAACTGATAAATTATCAATTGTTCCATATTAAACAATATTTTAAAAGCTATGAAATGCGGTTGCTCCTAAAAACATAACCACCCCGCACCCACTACTACATGTTGGTATGTCGAAAATTTCGAAATAATTTTGACCCGTTCTAATTCCCATAAAGGTTTATGTTCCAAGTTTAGGAAAAAAAAGAAAATTTAGAATGTTGACCTATAGCATGACGATCTGGCGGTCACGATCCACCCACCACCCTCACATCATTTTGGTATGCCGAAACTTTCGAAATATTTTTACCCCGTTCAAATTCCCATAAAGGTTTGTTCCAAGTTTAAAAAAATGGAAAATTTAGAAGTTTGACATGTAGCATCACAGATCTACAGGCATAAATAATGTTTAATATGGGGGTACAAAATAACAACCTTTATAATGTGTATTAATTTAACATAAGATAATCATTATGATAATAAAGAAAAATCATATGTCGATGATATTGTCCCAAGAGTAATATCAGTGAAATATAAATATAAATTAAAACATCTTATGGGTCTGACATAACATCCCTTTCCTCCCCTCCCTCCCAAACACAAAATCATATTGGTGTGTCCAAGTTTGAAATAATCGTTATTTGACCTCATTTAAAAACCCATCAAGTTTTATGTTCCATGTTTAGAAAGTGAAAAATAGAATTTTAACCTTTGGCCTGAAAATATGGGAGCATAAAAATTAAATAATGTTTCCAAAATGTATAAAAAGTTAGTATCATAAAATATTTGATTTAAAATATGGAAAAGTAACCTCTCCACCCCTCGAAAAAAATTGTATTTTTGAAATGGTTATTTAAAATGGCGGATTGAGTTACCAACGACAAACACAATACACATTATAGACAATGAAAAATTTTGAATGTTGACCTCATATGTACTTATAAAGTATAATGTTACCCAAAACTAAATATTCTGATCTTTGTAAGCGTTTCTAACATCAATGGTCAGTATTGCGAGCCGGCTACCCAACCCTAACTCCCATTTAGGAAGGGGGAGGTAGGATTTTCCCAAGTGCTCTGATCAACTGGAAGTGTTTACTCACTACTGACCTTACATTGTAAATAAACATAATCATGAATATAATATAAATAAACAATAATAACAGTAGACATCTGTAGACGACTTCATTAGAAAAATACTAGTTTGGCAATAACAAGCTTATTTAGATAAATTGATGGAAATAACAAGCTTATTTAGATAAATTGATGGCAATAACAAGCTTATTTAGATAAATTGATGACCGTTGGTGATATATAACAATAGTTAAATCCAAATTGCAAACGAACCCCATCAATTTGTGAATCAAAATGTTACAGTAAAGGAACACCTGCTAACCAGTCTTGGACACACCTTTACATAGAGAAGTGATTTGATAGACTTTTAGTGAAGATATCGGTTTAAACTCTACATGATGAAACAAGCCCAAATGTAATGTTCTAGAGAAACGAAGCAAACTGCCTATATAGCTATAAGATATAACAGTAAACTAACTATTAGAGATAACTGGGTGGCCAATTTCAAGTCTTCAAAGATAACTGCCCCCGTCGAAGGCCAATGAATGGGGTGTGCACACCAGAATCGACGGAAAACGGAAAACTTCGTAGGAGACAGAAGTTTGTAATATATTTCATCCAGAATCGTGTTAAGATTAACAATGTCATAACCCTTGCGTTATGGTCTGTCTTATAATTGTGTGGTGATCACAATTCGAAAAGAACGGAAGTCCTAAATTGGACTGAATGTAGTTGTGTACATGTTCTAAGAAGTAATGGTACGTCTGCAGCCTACAACCATTACCACCATTTCTAATCTCCAGACAATAACCTCAAGCACAGGTCTCGCCACCTGGCTGCAAGGAACCCCGAATCTTTGTGTATGTAGAATAGTGAAGAAACTTTTGTGTCTGTAGTGTCTGTAGACTAGTGAAGAAACTTATGTTGTGTCTGTAGACTAGTGAAGTATCTGTTTATGTTGTGTTTTCGGGATATAGAAGAAACTGTTCGTCCCATCTGACCGTCGGTGTGTTTTCTCTCGATAGAGACAAACATATTCGGTGTGATCTTTGTTGAAGTTATGGTGTTTATTTTGTGTATGTATGAAGAAACTGTCCGTCCCATCTGACCGTCGGTGTTTTCTCCCGATAGAGATAAACATATTCGGTGTGATCTTTGTTGTTGAAGTTATGGTGTTTATTTTGTGTATGTATGAAGAAACTGTCCGTCCCATCTGACCGTCGGTGTTTTCTCCCGATAGAGATAAACATATTCGGTGTGATCTTTGTTGTTGAAGTTATGGTGTTTATTTTGTGTATGTATGAAGAAACTGTCCGTCCCATCTGAACGTCGGTGTTTTCTCCCGATAGAGATAAACATATTCGGTGTGATCTTTGTTGATGAAGTTATGGTGTTTATTTTCTGTATGTATGAAGAAACTGTCCGTCCCATCTGGTCGTCGGTGTGTTTTCTCCCGATAGAGGTAAACATCTTCGATGTGATCGTTGTTGTTGAAGTTATGACATGTTACCCTAGACATAACAGATAGACTCGGTCCCTTAAGTAGTTTTACACCTCAAGCCTAACTAAAAGTCAGTGTTTCCAAGGGGTCCCCATTTTAAGATGTGTTTCAAACTAGTCAACAGAATGTCCTTTACTGTACCTATCAGACAGACCCATGAAAATTTAGAAAATATATACAATACATACAGAAAAAACATAAACCTGTTATTGCCAATCTAGAATTTCCCTATGCAACTTCCATTTCCCAGTCGAGTTCCCGGTACCATAAACTGCCGCTTGACATCTATCCAAATCACAGCTGGAAAAATAGGTAAACTATGACAATTAAATTGTCCATATGAATAATATCGTTTAAAAAAAGGACGTAGTTGAAAATTTGCCCATCTGTACAACAGGATTAATATTTCAGTAAATCTGAAACGTTTTCAAAAACTACGAACGAACGTTTCCTAACTTCATGCTGTATTGTTTTGCGACTAGAAAATCTCAGCTTGCAGCTGAAGTATGATTTGTTCAAAGTAAACCGATACAGTAAATTCATCTAAGAACCACTATTCAACACTTAAAGTTACAATTTCATATTTTCTAAGAAAGTCAAAACATAATTATTTCTATTTCCTTTGCTCAATAGGTTGTCATCTCACTATTATACGATCATAGGTGTCATTCTCACACTTTAAACTCATTTACACCGGAAATAATAACACAATTACCTCCCTTGTTTTATATTCTCCACCATGGAGTAGTTATCTTCAAATGTTTGAATTTGAAGATGAAAATGATATTTTGCCAATTTCTCAACTGGCAATAGTGAATTATAGGATTAATAGAAATAAAATGGGGTTTAACGTCCTACTCCTATACTGGGCTAATGAAGACGGGCATACTCCATACAGTGTGCTATGCGGGAAATTGTGCCCGGGCAGCGGCACTATCGCCTACTCTTATATCGAATTCCAACTGCCAAGGGATCTTTTACGTGCATTCTAATGTATACACGGGACCTCGGTTTTTCGTCTCATCCGAAGGACTAGACAGCTGTCCTTGTCAGGCCCTCCGTTCTGATAAGGGGAAAACACGTCGGAAAATCCAAATGAACTTTCTCGGCCAATGCAGGGATCGAACACCCGACCTCCAGGCTAGCGAGCCAGCGTCTTAACCACCTAGCCACCGTGGCTCCTATAGAATTAATAGGATTATTCTTTAACAAGGTAGGACTGTTTATAGATACCATCTATTTTCAGGCTTAAGATGACCAAGTGATACGTTGTTGAAATGTCACAGTTTTGAAGGCGTAAGTTCTATTTCCAGGAATGTCTCAACAGTCAATATGTATAATTTGATTCAATGGCCAAAATATTATGTAATTAAGCATATCACATGGAGTTTAATTTGAATTACATGTATTTATAAATTTTAGGGATAATTTAGAAATAAGTAAAGTTTGGTATTAATACCTACCCTGTCTGTTCTCCTATACCAGTGGTAATCGTCATATTGATCATTCGGCGTCTTAACATTGTTGTGGTCCTGTAAAATATACCATTATATATCAACAGCCAAGGACAAACTTGTTGTCTACATGAACTAGAGAAGTTGTAATTAACAAGTATGTATATTTTTTTTAATGTTTTAAAATAAGGAAAACAGTGAATTATTCGAGACGTATAAATATATATTTGAACTCCAGATAAGAAGTGAAATGGAATGGTCTAACACAATCAGCTACCCTCATTCGTGAAATTCCTATGAATAACCACTACTATTTCGGTTCATCGTGTTACATTAAACGACATTTTATGTTCTAAATAAAACTCATAAATAATGTTTGAAATTTTGTATTACAGTAATAACACTTCCGACTTTGTTTTAGAAATACAGAAAATATTGATATTAATGCTTACCTCATCGATTGCATAACAATTGTCTGTACAATAATACCTCCATGTATAATATGCTGTGTGTCCTGCTCATCCACAACTATCACCGTCTTCATACGTCCCTTACAAACATATCCCCACGATCCTGTAAATTAGTGAAGGATTATTAAGTATTGTACATCTAATCTCAGTTTATGTACTTTAACCGGCGCCGTCACTATTTTTTAAGAAAAAAATTATATTTATGTTTAGTTAGATCTTTCTGGACCCTTTATTTATTTTTTTCATCAAACTTACAATAAAAATCCTGTAAAATGCAATCAGTTTATGGACTAATAAAAAAGACAGCACGTTTTACATTTGTCTATTGTCATACCAAAAAATATTAAAATCTATAAAGTGGTGATGCATAACTCACCTGTATCCGTAAACTCTCTAGACCCCACTATCAACAATACATCTAAGTTTATCATAGAAACACGTTATACAAGATTATCTTTACTGGACTCTCATGAGAAATTTGCAATATACATTAAGGGCATTAAAAATCTAAGATAAACCAAATATCAGAATATATTAAATATAGCACCCCTTACTTAAGCAAATGCAGTGAAAAACATGCAAAAAAAAACAAACAAAAGAAGAACCCCAAAAAGAAAATATTAGTTGCCTAAAGGAGATGTGGGATTAGTTGATTGATGCCATATTAATATATCCCAATTTAATTACTCCCCATGTCTACAACTTTCAACCAAAAAAAACCTATTAATACATCATGGAAAACTTCACATGATATTTACAAAGGAATCTGGTGCACAAGCCAAGCTTATACACATCAACCAGCCAGAATATAAAGACAGACCCAGTATAAGATAAATAATAACGTGTGTGGACCTCTCTATGATACCATAAACTTCTTGTCTCCTTTAGTGCAATCTGAAAATAAAAAAAAAAACATGAATTAAATTAATGTTAACTCTTTTTTCCTAAACTCAAATCAATATGCGCATCGATTGACAAATTCATTGGTGTTGAAGGATTACACATACGAATATGTCCGTAACATTGGACTACCCCTGTCTCATAGGTCATATTAGTCCGATATAGGACGGAAACTATTCTATGTAGTTTGACGAAAATATTGTAATATGGTGAAGATCGTTTATTTAAAAGTAAAAGGTAGCTTACCCAAAGAAGAACTACCACGCCGCCATCGTCCGACCGATAACAGGAGATATGTCTGTAATATGTAATAGAAATATGAAAGTAAATAAACTGGTTAACTCTGCGTGAAAGACTCTAACCTTGGCCTATTCGACAATCTAAAATTTTATGATGCTATGCCAAAGAAATACAAACTTTCATTATTCATGTGAGGTGGGCTATAAATCAGAAAATTCTTCACATTTTGTCCCTTGATTTGTATACCTGGTGAACGCTGACACTTCCCCTTTAATAATGAACAATGCATATAGTTTGTAAACCTAGGCCGTCTCACACTATTCCTTTCCGGGTATTCAAATTCTACATTGAGAAACTGTTGCTTGATAAAAAAAAAACCAGAGACAATTATGAGACTAACATACTGCGCATATGCTATTGGTAATACAATGAAGAATTTTGCGCCATTTTGTAGGTCCAGTTTAATGCAAATAAAACACGACACTATTTTAACGTCTACTCAACACGAACTAGGTAATTTCGGGACTAACATGTGGTATATTGTACGTAGGTGTCTTTAGCAATGGAAAAAAACGAAGGACATACCCTACTCCTGTCACGTAAAAATATTAATCGACTGTTTAAATGGAGGGTTTAAAGTCCTACTGTTCTGTCGACTTGTTAATAATATACCAGCCTATCTGAACGTACGTGTCTTTACCAATGGAAAGAAACCGAATGACTAAGAGAAAACCCACTCGGTTCGACATACCCTACTTCTGTCACGTACAAATATTGATCGACTGTTTAAATGGGGGTTTAAAGTTCTACTGTTCTATGGACCTGTTAATATACCAGCCTATCTGAATAAAATTTTAAAATGAAAATTAAAAGTTTACTAACCTGTTTGAGATGAGAGACGTATCCTATATTTGGCTAATGTGAATAGATGCTTTCACTTGGCCGCTCAATTTCAAATTGAAGGACGGTTGGGGGATGTTTGCTTTCTAAAGTTTGTATCTGAAAAGTACTCACCACGGTTACCAGGCGACTGGGTTGTTCGAATCGGCGTCTCTAGCTGTATGGAACGACAAATTTACAAATATTCATTTAATTGACGGGACCCATTGGCAGTGAATTGATTTTATGTTAGTTTGGCGTTCCATAATTCAGATCACCTGTAAAGAATCAGCTACCTATGTGTTCGCTATACAAGCCTGCACTGTGATTGGCTAATATTTCTGGTGGGTATTCGATTGATTACAAAACAAAGAAAAGAATGCGCATGTCTATTTTACATGGTTTAATGTATCATTCATGTCATAGAGAATAAATTAAATCCATCCCTGCCCATCCTTTATTGATCATTGAAAAATCATTCGATTCTTAATGATATTACACAAAACCATTGCAGAAATCTCCAACTATCGAAAGGTTTAATATATGGTGTACCCAGAGCCGGAAACCAAGTGAAAATTCTCAAGATATCCAAACCTTGGCCGTCGCCTATCAGAATAAGCATAAAATTCCAGACATGCCACTGAGTTCAGTGGAAGTACCCTAAGTTCGGGAATGCCCTTTGACTTCAGTACAGGGCTAACAGGGGTCATTCCAGTAGTAAGGCACATAAGACATGAGTCATTCACCATTCCAAAGTGGAAGGCATGGTCTTAACTACATGCACTGCTGGACTCTGTCAGGTCATTGACCAAGACCCACACAAGTACGCGCCGACGGCGCGTCACGAGCGTGCCAAAGGCGCGAAAACGTCCGAGGGGGGTCTGGGTGGCTTCTTCTCCCAGAAAAGGTTTGAAAATTGTCAACCGCAAACCCATTTTCCAAGCATTTCAGACCAAAGCAGAAGAAGGCAAATTTTTGATTTCCTGGTACAATTAGATAACAGAATGACCTAAGAGCACTATCATTAGATGAATTTGAGAATTCTAGTACACTTCTTTTTTTGTGTTGTTTGTCAGTCATTTTTTTCCAATCATTTCTTTCTCCAGTCCTGTGTCCTGCCCGCTCCTTCTTTCTTTCTTTTCTCCCCCCTCTCCTTTCTTTCTCTTTTTTCTTTTTTGTTTATAGGCTTAGGCCCACTTTTTTTTAATGAGCTTAGGCCCACCTGTCACGGACAGGTGGACAGGTGGCCCCAGTCCGGCACTGACTACACGTATACACTAAAATAGTAAATGCATTGCATACACAAGACGATGTTGTCTTTAATCGCTGACTATTTATTACAAATATAAAAACCTAATTAAATTCTCGGATTATCCACTGCCTGCGTCTTTTTCCGTGATTTTTATCTCAGAAAGTGTTGTACGTCTAACTCTTCATAAAGTTTATCAACATGTACATCAAGGGCTCAATCACCCCGTGTTAACCTCTGACGTCACGCGTGCAGATATTCCTAATCGCCGGACTGTCGATATGGGGAACCCTGACATTTTTGTCCTGTATACGCTTCATGAGTATTTTTCGGGGAATCCAGTATTTTTCTAGTAAGATTGGATACCTCTACTTTCCATATATACCAAAATTGTCATACTTTTATTGGAAATAACCACCTGATAAATACTTTTCTGGGAACCTATCTTTAAGTAAATAACAAAATCGCATAAATCTTATGTAATTTAATATTATTGTAAAGAAGTGATAAAGTATTATACTTATCTTTTTGCCTTTAATCGAATCTGTGAAAAGACAGCGCCATTCTCTTCAGTTTCTTGTTAATACTAACATATACCGTAATTCAAGTTGTTATAAGGCTATACACTGAATTTTAGAATTTAAAATTCAGCTAATGACCAAAAATGTTTCAAGAGAGTAAATTGGTTGTTAATTATAGTTTGCGAGTTGACCAAGTGACTTCAACAAATTATATTACATGTATTTGAGTACAGACTATAGCTCGTTCTTTGCAGGGACTAGGACCGAAGTTGAATGTTACCCACAACTAGCAACCTTCCTACTAACAAAATAAAAAATAAAAATGACCGGAACAGTCATAATAAAAACAGGAGAAATATATTAAAAACACCAAAAATTAGGATAAAATGTCCCGTCTATCAATACCCCAGATGAAGTATATGTGTGGACATCTTTACAAATTTAATATATTCCATTTAGTCGTTAGCAAGGATGATTTACACATGAGAGGAACAAAGTAAAATGAGATTTAAAGTCCACTGGACACAAACTAGGTCATTTTGGGACTAGCATAATATGGTGATGCATACTGTATCTATGGACATCATCACAAAGTTAATATATTCGTTAGCAAGGGTGATTTTGACTTAAGAGAGAGAAATGGAGTTTAAGGTCCACTCAACACAAACTAGGTCATTTTGGGACAAACATATGGTACAATTTCACTTCAATAATACACTTGTGGGAAAAGAGAATATCCATGAGGTTGAACAAACAACACCACACCATGTCACCGGCATGCTGTCACACCACTTAACTCAATGACAGACCTTAGGATCTAAAGTCTATGTGTTAGACCAGCGACAAGTTTCATGAATGTCCAATGCAATTTAAACAGAACAAATCGTCTTCTATAAATATGATATAATGAAAGGTGAAATATGATACACGATTCAGTGTAAGCATATTTTAGCTCTTGGGTAAAAGAAGTGTTTCTGAGGGATGTACTTGTAACAGGTTTTAAGGACGAGGGGATTGTAGATGATCCAGTGACAGTAAGTCGTAGTCACACAATCAGCAAGACGACCATACAACACCTTTTCTGCCAATGTTCCTTGTGCCAAATAGGTTATTTTGGTCAAACATATTTTAGGAATCAGACCAACTTATTCCCATCTGTATTTAGGAGCCGATCATTGTATGGAAACATTTGGACGTTTTCATAGAGAGGCATTACAGATCGGGAGGCTATGATAATTCCATATTGAAATCCCTGAAGGAGAAGAGGTCAAAAACAGTACTACAAAATAAAACAGTACTCTGTGGTCCAAAAACCTTGAAGGAAGGTCAGAGAGCATTTACACTCGAACGTAGGAATCTAAGTAAGTGAGCACTTCTGCTCGAACGTAGGTATATGTAGGAGTTTGGCACATGCTGTCAACATTATCCTGGAGTGCCATAAATCCTGTTTTGATCAATGCCATGATTCAGAGATTTCAATACCAGACATTAAATGTACCTACATGAACACTTCTGAATGTTTCTTCTTATGGTTCTTCTTTACATGAGCAGGTGTACAAATTAAAAGATATCATGTTTATGATAGTCATGTCAGTCAAATTTATACGATGATCTGCTCATGAATACAGATCTTAATAACAGTGGTCTGATCCCTGCAAAATTACACACCACTTATGACCCTTCCCTATGGCTATCAAGCAAGCGTGAAAGTCAGATTTTGTCACAAAAATATTATGATTTTAAACAAAATGATCTATTTGACACGATTCACGTTGAAATTACGAAATATTACAAGTAATGGTGATGATCAGTAGTCATTTGAAGATAATCGTTGGTCATTGCTGAAAAGGTGCTGCTTAGGTTAAATTGTGCTAATATAAAAGCTTGCTATGCCAGTCCTTACATTTATGCACTTCCGTGCTACTAACTACTGAATACAGGTGAGAATAATCGTTGCCTGATCCTGCAAAATTATACACCAGTTAAGCCCCTTTCCTACGATGACCGCGAACGTCCGATTTTGTCACAAAAACTTCATGATTTTTAACCAAGATAGTATATTTGGCACAAGGAACGTTCAAGTAACAAAAAATAGTACTAATGTTCATAATCAACGGTCATTTGAACTCTTGAAAATAGTATTCGGTCATTAGTGAAAAGACGAATTTCGTGGAAAATACCGTTTTTACACATTTTCAGAATATTACAGCACTCTAGTGGGTTGCGTTCCGGTCAGTTTTTTTCTTTTGACATTTACTTTGAGAAATGCCCTTCACAACCACACCAAGCAATTCTATGTCAGACCTGCAAAGAAGCAGCTACATGCGTTTTAGGATAGCATAGTTTTAAACATATGTAAAATGACCACTTTATGATCACTCACAGAAAATTCCACATGATTCATTCATTCCCAAACGACTGCAGGATTTTAAGACGACTACTAGGCCTATCATACCTGACCAATATCAAAAATTTAGAGACACAACTTTTCGGGTAGGAGCGTTTTGAAATTAGGGTAACAAATTGGTCGAAATATGTCAACTTTTGCCCCAAAACAACAATTTCCAGTTATACCGGAAGTTGTCAGTTCAAAATTTTTTCACTCCATCATGTGACTTCTGTCGTCTAGGGGTCCCAATAGACCAAGTATGGTTGAAATTTGCTGACCCCCGGGTTATCGTTTTTTTCAATTTCTGCATGGTGCTCTCGTGGTTAAAACCTGTCCTCTACATCGCGATGCACGTAAACATTCAATTTTTACCTTACCCCAAAACGTGATTTCAATACAGACATTATTAAAAGGCACTGACGATATTATTATTTCAAGTATTATCTTTGAACAAGTCCATAGATTTCTAGACATCTCCGGAAGGTTTAAATAAAAATGAATCCAGTAGCTAAATATATGAATATGGCAAACCTGAAATTGTAAATATGTACATAGGCCCCCTCCCCTTTTTTTTGTTCATTTTATTCTTTTATTCTTATACTATTTAGATTGATTTTATCATAACATGGTTATATAGTCTTTTTGTATATATTTTCTGTCGTATAGGAAAGAGGTAATATAGGCCTAGGTAGGTTGCCAGGCAACGAAACATACGGCCACAGCATCTAAATCGTCCGGGCAGTCAACATGAGTTGTCGCATATTTTTACTTTAGTTGGTAATGAAACATTTATAATACACTAAAATCTGATTAAGAGTAACAATTAACTCATTAAGTAAATCATTAGAATTTGTTTGACCCATGCTAACATTTAGTATACAAAACATTTAATACCATGGATTTAGCTGTTCAAGTTACCAAAAATCATTGAAAATCAATATACTTGTTCGTCTCAAGACCTTAAACTCTGTGGATCAATCGAAACAATTTATATATATATATATATATATTATGATAACTATGGTCTCTAAAGAACCCACACGATTTTTCAAAGTGATCAAGGGCCATCCACAAGATATTTCAAAGTGATCAAGGGCCATAACTCTTAGACATAATTAACAGAAATTGCTGAAATTCAGTAGGATTCTTCATTTCACTAAATTAAATAATGCATAAAAATTTCATACAGATCGGATGATAAGTTTTGTCATTAGAGCGTTCACATAGGGTCTTTAACAGTAGGAAGAGAGAAATGGGGTTTAACAGTACACTTGACACAAACTAGGTAATTTCGAGACAAACACATGGTTCAATTTTATTTCAATAATTCGCTTGCGCTTATGGATTTTTAGCAGTGGGAGGAAACCGGATGACCCGTAGAAAACCCATGAGGTTGGACAGGCAACCTACCCCTTGTCATACACAAGCGGGAAATCGATACCGCAGCAGTTGACTTAAATGACAGACCTTATGATCAAATGAGAATAACCAAAACCACGTTAGTCATGAACTGACCTGATCCGTGTGAGTGGACGTTAAAACCCCACTTCTCTCTTACATTAATTTTCGTTGATTAACCCGACGTTTTTTCGTGCAATAGATGTAACAATGTCTTCATCAGAACAGCCATGAAATAGTGCAACAAATTGGGCAGAGGGGCATCTGAGGGGCCGATATAGAGATATGCCTAGTTCGGGTGGATTAAAATGGAACACTTTGCAGCTGGAAGGATCCAAGTTAAAACAACTCTCGTTCTTTACATTAAATGTGCTATACTCCAAAACTAAAACCTTGTTATCTGTGAAATTGTTATCTCAAATTAATAAGAATCATGTTTCTTCCATGATAATCGTCACTTCCCTGAACATTGATTTCACAAGCTTATTCTGCAGCTCAGTTTTTCATCTACCGCCGGCTTGTTCAACATTTCACAGCAAAATTACAAGGCTAGTGTTCCCCCACCCTATCAGATCCAAACCACAGTGATGGTGAAATATTTTATTTGTAAATGATTTTTAACTACATCTATCAGTATTTAATTAATTAACAAACAATACAATAATATAATCTCTTTTAACTGATAAATTATCAATTGGTCCATATTAAACAATATTTTAAAAGCTATGAAATGCGGTTGCTCCTAAAAACATAACCACCCCGCACCCACTACTACATGTTGGTATGTCGAAAATTTCGAAATAATTTTGACCCGTTCTAATTCCCATAAAGGTTTATGTTCCAAGTTTAGGAAAAAAAAGAAAATTTAGAATGTTGACCTATAGCATGACGATCTGGCGG